CAGGGAGCCCGATGCGGGACTCGATCCCAGGACCCTGGGATCATGACCTGAGCTGAAGGCAGTCGCTTAACCAACTGAGCCACCCAGGCGCTCCAAAAGCTATTCTTAATGTCCACCTTAGTCCTCTCTCCTGCACGCACCCAACCGTCCCCACCCCATCCCAGGCACATGTTCCCCAACCAGCCTCACTTTCCTCCAAGACTCCCCATAGGTCATGCAGGACTACTGAAGTCCCAGGTTCATCTTTTGAAAGTTCTGCTATTCCTTCCCTCAAACTGCTCTGGAAACCCAATGACCTCTCTGCATTTCACCCCTGCCTTCTCTAGAACTCATGAAATACTTTACTCCTTGACTACAAATGCCTTTCTCTGCGGACTTCAGGTGCCTGGTGGATGTTCCATCCCTCTGTCCACAAATCTCAGCGCTACTCTTAGGCTCCCAGAAGATAGGTTTAGACCATGCAGGGTCTCAGTAAATACTGAGATACTGAGCAGATTCCATGCCACCCTCTCACACAGAGTAGCCGTTAGCCACATGTGGCCAACCCAAAGTGAGCAAGACATTCATAAAGCACTACCCCATTATATCCAGCAGCTGTTTACTCCCGGAGACCGGCACAGAGCAGGGGTTCGGAGCACAGACATGAGAACAGCATGCCTGTGCCCCATCACATCTCCCCCACACCCGACTGTGTGAGCCAGGCAGGCAGACTTAACCTTTCTGTGCCTCAGGTTCCTCACCTATAAAATCAGGGTAATAGCAGTGCAGACGTTATAAGGATTAAATGGATTAATATTTGAAAAGCCCTTAGCATTAAAATTTTAAAAGTGTTATTTATTCAGATTTTTTTTAAAAAAGAAGAAAAGAAAAAAACAGCAAACACTGGCCAGGCTAAAAGTCTGAAGGGGCTGTCAGCTACAGCTACGTGTGTCCATTGTGCTCATTCTGAGCTGCCCAGCACATGACAAGAGAAAAATAATGGTCATGGCATCAGCCACACACAGGGACAGAGTGGGGCTCAGTGACACTGACTGGATTCCTACAGGGGTGGTTTGGAGGGAGACGAAGCTGCTATACTGACTTCGAAAGTCCATCCATTCGCTCTGGCACATGGACCCAAAGCATCAAAGGAGCCCTGCTAAATCATCCACCAGCCTAACACCACACCATAAATGAAGAGCGTTTCTGAGCAAAGAAAACGGAATGAAAAAGCGGAACACACATCAGGTTTCCCTGGGATGTTTAACTAGTGCTTCCCTTTGTAAAGACTTTTCTGTAACATCTCTGGTGTGGACTCTTGACTTCAGCAGAGGGAAGGCACTGGCTAGAGCCAAGGACAGACACAGAGGTGGCAGGACTGCAGCTGTCACCGCAGTTAAGAGAACAGATGGCAGGAAGCCGGGCTCATTCCTAGGGTGGAATGACCCCTGGACAGCACTGATTTAGTAATTGAGAAACATGCATACTTTAAAACCATTTTGTGGGCAAAGTTCATGGAATCTCCTTTTAAAAAATATATATTTATTTATTTATTTGACAGAGCGCGTGCTCACAAGCAGGGGGAGCAGCAGAGGGAGAGGGAGAAGCAGGCTCCCCGCCTAGCAGAGAGCCTGATGTGGGACTCGATCCCAGGACCCTGAGATCATGATCTGAGCCGAAGGCAGACGCTTAACTGACTGAGCAACCCAGGCGCCCCTGGAATCTCCTCTTCTAATGTCCTTTTGTTGATTTTCTGTTATCCTCTATCACTTGGCTCCTATTTACACAAACAAGGTTCTAGCCAAAGCCAAAAGCACCTAGTATTAAGGACCCTCCGTACCGCCAGGTAATCCATGGTATGTATATGTCAGGAATATATTTTGAACAAGTCTGGCATCTGTAAGTGGCTGAAGAATGGGGATGTTGGAGAGGTAAAGTGTGGGGGACACTGAGCACAGCAGCAAGGCTATAAGCCCCCCAGAGGGGCAGGGTCACAGTTTTGTCTTCACACTCCCGATGCCTAGAGCTCCAAGCCTGGCACACAGGAGGCTCTTCACACGGGCTGAGAGCCTGGGTGCAGGCCCAGAAGCAGGAGGTCTTCAGGCCCAGGTACCCAAGGAGGGAACCCCCACCCTAGAAAACCACCGCTGCTCACCTCACCAGCGTCTGGTTGTGCAGGTCCCAGACGGCGATGTTACCGTCACTGCAGCACGAGAAGCAGACCTTGGAGTCGGGGCTGATGGCCAGGGCGTAGCACGCGGGGGCCGAGGACGTCAGCTCCGCCTTGATGCGCGGGGTGGGAGCCGCCAGGTCCCAGATGGACAGAGTACTGGCCTCCCCTCCCACGATGAGGGTGC